ACCAGCTTATCCAACAGCCCTGTCCTTGAATCTCTGCCTGACAAACAACACTTCCTGGGACCTGAACCTGGGAGCACCATGTCTGCAACCAGCTAGACTCCAAAAAAGCTCCCTCATTTTCCAGATAGTTCACCACCATGGAATCAGGTTGGGCTAGACCCTGGAGATGGCAGGGACAAAGGCTCGCCTCCTGGTCTCTCCTGTAACACCCACAGCAGTACCAAGGACATCCCTGAGGTCAACTCCATCCTGTCCATCCACCAAATCCATTTCCTTCCCCTTCTTTTACTTCCCTCTGCTTTGCCAAGCACTGCTTGTCTGAATACTAACTACGACAAGACTGCCTTATCCTGACCCAGTCAGCTGCACCCCCAGGGAAGTAACTTGCCCCACGTGCCAGAAACACCCAACAGGAAGTGGCCCTGCAAAGGAGGTGCAGCCTCCTGCTTTTCTTTTTAACCATTGGAAAAGGAACTCAAACTCCAAGCCCTCACCCAACCTATCGGGGGGAGGGCAGCGGGGAGGTCTCTCCTGTGCCTATCTCTGGACGGTATGACATGCAAACTTATACCGGCTTTAGCTACCGGTTGGCAAGGCTGTTTCTGCTATAATAAGTTTCTTAGTCTTTGTGCTTTTTCCTGCAACACGCTTTCAGCCTCATTGGGGATGGTGTCTTTCCCATTCAGCTTGTGCTGCTTCTTTGGTCCAAGTGCCAACAGTCTCCATCCAAGCCTTGTTCACAGGACATGAACTTCCATCCATTTAATGACTTCTGAAGCTTCTTAGCTTCCCATCTGTAATCTTGATCTCACCCCATTATATCTCTAGCTACTTTCGTATGACAGCTCACTTTTCACTGTCCACTGCATATCCCTGGCTGGATTCTGCAACCAAACAATTATTTCTTAGCTTATTTTAGTTCCTTCTGAAGGGCCACCTCTGCACATCCTGGCACAAACATGCCCCACTAATCAATTCCACAGGACATGTCTTCATGCCAGAGCCTATATCTCATTATCACCCCACAGTTGAGGTAGCCAAAAAGTAGCTTCTGGAAGTGGTGTTTTCCCACTTACCCTGGCTCAAAATAATCAGTCTGGACAATCCATGATGCATGTCAGCTTTCCCAGGTAGACCAGACAGGAAACACGACCAGATGAACTAATTCTACTTTATTGCAAGGCTACATTAAGAGAATCTTGCAAGTCTGAATGTACACATCTCCCACCGTCTCTTTTACAGCCTGAGAAGTTAGATTCTTCTTTCTCCATCCATTATGCAGCTGCAGGCTATGCCTTCTCTTATCTGACTGTTCCCTAGGCAGCATCTCTTTGCCCTGTTTTTCAAGGTCTTTCTCACATACCATTACAGTACATGAAGGAGGAAGAGATATGTGGCATGTAATTGAAAGTGCAATTGAAAGGGCTTGGTTGTTGTACTTCAGTAGCTTGCATAGTAGGGAATTCTCTTCCCAGTAGCTGCTGACCTCATGCTATGTTCCTAGGTCACTTCAGAGCTCCCACACCACAGCAAAACCCCTTTCTTATACTCCAGTTCTTCAACAAAGCTTATCCAAAGGCTGCCTCTCCACTGCACGAATCTGGATGCCCACTAGATAACAGCCAAGAGATACAAAATCTTCTAACTCAAAAGGTCAAACAGCCAACCCAAAGAAAAAATACAAAAAAAAATATATCCAATCAGTTGATGGTACCATCGGAAAGAATAAGAAAATTGAAGTACACAGAGCAAACAGAGGCCAACCAGAGGAGGCTTTGCACATGGTGGATAATGTTGGGCTGGGCTGGAACTTCAGCCAAGAGAAGCACCTATCATAGCCCTTGGACTTTCACGCTCTGCAGCAGCAGTGCAGCATGGACCCCTTCCAGCTGTTCAGTACGGGAACCCTGTGGGGGCAGCAAGATTTTCTTCTAGTTCCAGGATAGGAAAGGCAGTTGCATGGATGTAGCTCCCCTCCTCTCCTCTCCCGTCTTAGATTGTCAGCTCCTTCCTTGGGACAGCCATAGAAAACACTCTTCCCCCCCTCCCCCCCTCCGCAGTCTGGTAAGAGAGACAAAAGATGCAATCTAGTTGATTCAATCTGGTTTGTGAGAACCAACTGTTAAATTGCTGCATCCATTACAAAACCTCTGTCTGAAGAAACTGGCAGAGCAGGGAGGAAAACTAAGAGAACGCCTGACAGAGACCAGGCTTTCCGTGCAGGGGCAAAGCTGCACCCTCATGCGATCGTGTTCCAGGCTTTATGGACAGCCTACTTCTCCAGGCCAAGTGGGTGAAAATGCAGGTTTATATCTTAGTTATTAATGTATTGCAAATATTCTGGCACCAAATGAAAAAGGTGGGGATTCCTTTTATGATGTACATAATTGTGATTTATGGATGAACATTTCTCCCAAACTTCAGTATGCACATATGCCTAGAGAGTTCAGTAGGGCCCTGAGCACAAAGCTCTACCACACTAACCCACTTTTAAGTAGAAGTGTGGCCAATGAGTTTAGGACTGCAGGTGAGTCCTCTTAATTTAACTTGGCTTAGCAGCAAGGTATCTCCAGGACCCACCCATGGCAAAGTTCTCAGGAGAACCTCTTAGCAATTCCCCACTTTTTATAAGACAGAGATTGCCCGGGTGATGACACTCTGGAACATTCCCCCTTATGAAATTCTGCTCCACCTTATTAGGTTTTAGAAAATTATTGAAAATAGAATTGTCCAAGATAGATTTTGACATCTGAATATGACCATCTAGTTGTTCACTTCTTGTTATTATTTTTAATCATGTTAATACTTCTATTTTGAGGATGTTTTGTTCTTACAAATTACTGTTTGTAACCCGCTGAGAGTTGACTGATTGCAGCAGACTAAAAGTAAATAATTGTTTTAATTATTTGTGTACCGTATCAGCAATATCCAAAAAAAGGGGTGGGTGGGGGAGAACTAAATAAGGAAAAAGGGTTCTCTACTTACTTATAGTTTCATCATCCACAATCAAGAGGGATATCAAGCTATTTCCCTTTATGCCTCTGAATAGAACATTGAGGGCTAAAACTTTCTAATCTTTCATTATCAGAAGACACCATCTCATCTAAAGGAAATTCTCTGTGTAGAAAATTTAATTTCAGTCCAAATGCATTCTTTAGAGCAGATTTATGAATGTGTAATATCAAGGGGATGAGAAAGGTCGACCCTATTTGAAATACTGCTGGTTCATGGCCTCACCAACTTTGAGAACTCCTGTCTTATTAGCATTGTTGTGACTTGCTGTTTTATCTTTGTTGAAATACTGCCGCTTTTTAAAAAAAAGATACACTAGAGCATCCTGACAATTATTTTGATATATCTCATTTTGAAGGGATAATATGAATTATCCCTATTACCTAAATATATCAACCACTAAAACTAGTGGTTGATATATTTAGGTAACACCCCTGGACTGTAAATGTGTTACTAGGCCCTTCATGGGTAACTAAAGAATTAGCAATCAGCAAATTATCCAAACTGGACTCCACCCCTCCCTAACTTGTAATCAAGTTAGGTGTTTCTAAACGAGGACTGGACAAATTTGTGGAGGACTCGGCCATCAGCAGCCACTAGTCTTGATGGCTATTCAACCTCCTGAAACAGAGGCAGCTGCTAGCATGGCCATCTCTGGCATGTAGGTGATCCTCCAGAATCTCCTGGCTGAGTTCTCTTACAGGGTCCTCTAACTCTGGATGCCAAACTAGAGGACTACTGGGCTGATCCTGCTTCAGTGTGATGCCCAAAAATGGCACAATATTTGAGCTATGGTCTGACCAATGCAGAATAAAATGGAACTTCTACCTAATGCAATTTGGAGACTATACTTCTAAAATGCAACCTAAAATTACATTTGCTTATTTTGCAGCCATGTCCTACTATGGATTGCAATACGAGTAGTTGGCATTAAGCTATTATTTGAAGATCCCTTTCATATGTGCTATTAGAAAGCATGGCAGTTCAACATCCTTGAACTGACAAACTACCCAGTCCTGTCTTATCCAAAGTAAACTTCTGTTTATTGGTCCTTATCATGTCCATAATGCAGTAATTCTTCATCAACAACCCTAAATAGGCTCAATCGTGCCCTCTTATCTATGATAAGAACTGACAGGATTCAAGAAGAGTTTACTGTGACAGTCATTGTCACCATCCCCCTGCGATTCTCTTCCCTAGATTTGGGAAATGTGGGTGGAACCTCTCAGCAACTATTACATTTCTGGCTAATTGCAGAAGCCATCATGTGCTGCCTTTACCAGTTTATTACCTTGTGACTCTGCTCTTCTCATTCATTTTATTTATTTATTTATTTATTTATTTATTTATTTACTTATTTATTTCTGTAGGTATTGGTTCTTAATATATCAAACTGGAGATTATCAGCCCTGAGCCTTGAATGTGCAAAATATTCTGCTCATAATAAGCTTCACAAAGCCTATGGTTAGACCTTGAAATAGGGACCCTTCCCCAGGTTTCCATTAACCCCTCCATCTCAGGGCTTTTACGCTCAATAACTTGGTCTCCTCCATCCAGTCTCACCCCTGAACTTTATTCATATCAAGATGTAACCCAAGATCCACAGAGACAGGCTCTGAGCTTTGTGAACAAACAGGAGAAGCCAGTCCAATGGGAATAAGGCCCCCAAACCATTAGGAAGACCCACTACTGCGTTTATCTAAACATCAGAAAATTAGGGTTAACCACTGAGGAATCCAAATTAAATGATGATAAAGAAGGGGTCTGGGGTTCCTCTGGATAAGAACTATGCAAACAAAGGCAAAGGTTATTCTGAGTACCCCTACTGGTGGTCCAGGGCTAAAATAGCAGCCCTTGGACACTTCAGCCCTCTGGCCAGGGCACCACCACATGGAGGAGAGATCCCCACCTGCACCTCCCCCAAGAGGCTCCGGCTCCCACCCGCAGCCCAGAAGCCACCCCCCCCCCCCGAACCCAGCAGGCCTTACCGGCAGAGTGGCTCTGCTCGACACTGGCTCCGCAGGGCCAGGCAGTTGGGCTTCTCCTTCTCCTCATAGGAGCAGTAGGGGACGATTGCCTGCCGGCGGCGCTCAGCGCAGGCCTGGCTCTTGCAGGAGCAGAAGAGCAGCCGGTGGGTGTACTCGCTGGGCACCCGATCGAAGAAATGGCGCAGGGCTTTGTGGCATTTGCGCCGGCTGCAGTGCTCGGTGGCTGAGACCCCTTTGTTGCAGGTGGAGATGTAGGCGGAGCGCAGCCTCTTGCAGTTGTCATTCAGGTTGCAGGCTTTGGCTGCGTCAAGGCAATGGTTGCTTCTCGAGTTGGCTACCGGGTCTGTTCCTGCCCAAGGGAAGCAAGGAGGTCACTGAAGGCAGAGACGCTGAGCTGGGCAGGATGGGGCCTGGGGCTCAAAGGATGGGTAGCAAGGCAGCAGCTGGACTTGGCCTATCTGTATCTCTATCTCTGTCTGAAACAAGGGGGTATCAGGGAGGAATGCCTATGTGTCCTGCTCATGAAGGTCAAAAAGCATCTCCTACTTTGTTCAGGCCACTTGGACACAAACATGGGCAGCAGACAACTATAGCATCTATGACTCTGACATTCCAGGTGGGGGGGGATGGCCATTAGCTTGTTACTCAGCACAGGGTCGTTGGTCAATATGAACTGTTTTCACTTGAGGCTCAAAACTTGTAAGGGAACCTTCTGCTGACCCCAGAGGAGCAGATGCTGTCAGGCTCCTCAGCCTTTTCCAGGAACTCCTCCTGTGCCCTGGGCAGCAGGGGCCCTGCTCCTTGTCAGGGTGTGCAGCATACACTCCGCGTAGTGGTGCTCCGTGAGTGAGACAAAATAAGCAGTCCACAGTCTGATATAGAAAACTTGCACACAGACGTTTACTGTACAATATATACAGAATGTACACCACCAGCCTGCAAATTCCTAATTACTTCCCAGAACTCCAACACCAGACACAATTCCTATCACAAGCCACACTATAACCCATGGTGCACTTTGCTATATACAGTGGTTTGTGCTGTGTCATGCTGTCACACCCTACAGGTGTGTGCTCTGGGCGGGTTGCTGGGATTGCAAACACAGTCAAGCTATGCTCTGTCAAGTCCATATTCTCACTGAGAAATTCTTTACTCCAGGGTCTGAGCAAACTCAGGGAGGCAGTGAAGGACAGGAAGGCCTGGCGCAATATGGTTCATGGGGTCACGAAGAGTCGGACACGACTTAACGACTAAACAACAACAATACCCTGACACTCCTATCTCCCTCCATAAGGTACCTCTGGGGAATGGGGAGGAGAGCAGTTAGAGGAAGCCTGCCCCCCTCTCTTCAAGGGCCCACAAAATCTTGCAACCTGTTTGAGACATCGTGGCTCTGGAAGGCCTGTAAGCGAAGATTATACACAGAAAGACTTTCTTGCACATTTGCACTTACTAACATTTGTAAAAAGCGTTCCTTACTGAGTGCCAAATGGCAAAATAACTCTAGCAAAGTTTTACCTCCGGCAAATATCAGAAATGCTACCATGGGTTAAGGGAACTGTGGCCACCAACCTCACAGCAGCAGAAGGTTAAAGTGAAGTGTTAGAGCAACAATGCAAAATGTCACCATTAGGAAAGAGACGAAGTGCACAGAGATAGAGTGGGAGCTACCAGGCTTGGTCCTATCAAGAAATCTCATTTGCAACTGCTTTAGAAATCTTAGCAGACAAGATTTGGAGAAACAAACACATATTCGGGATTAAAACTCATGGTGAGGAGTTCAAATTGAAATGCTATGTAGGCGATGTAGTACTAACTCTGATGGAACCACAGAGCGCTATAAGAGAGCTGATGAAAACAATCAGAGATTTTGGTGAATTCTCTGGATACAAACACAATGGAAAGAAAACAAAGAGAATAGAAAGATATTTAGCCCCAGAAGACTTTTTGAAGAAAGAGTCTGGTTGTGAGATAACAGAAAATTCCAGCGAAAAACTTGGGACTATGATAGGATGCAATACAGGCATATTTCAGAACAATGGCAATAAATTATTGCGGGGGGGGGATTTTAAAAAGATCTTGAAATGTGGAGAAACCTAAAGCTTTATTGGCTTACACTTACTGCAACAGTAAAAATGAATATACTACCCAAGATAACTTTTTATGTCAAATGGCACCAATTCCAATCTCAGATAAAACCTTGCAGGATTGGCAAAAACAGTAAGCTAATTCATGTAGAATAGGAAAAATTAGAGTAAGATTTAAAATATTGCAAGATTCAAAAAAAAAAAAAAAAGAGGTAGCCTTTCATTTTCTAATCTTTAATCTAATCACGCTGTCTGTCTGTCATGGATAACAGAATAGATAAAATCCCCAAACAATAGAATATAAATCACAAAACGAGCCAGTTTAGCTCCTTCATAGGTATTTTTGGTATAAGGAAACAAAAGAAGAAAATAATTTGAAAGGACACATTATAAACCAAAGTTTGATTAAAATATGAAATCTTTTTTTTAAAAAAACAAGAGTAAATCCAGCAACTTCATTAGGTTTGCCATCCAATGTCTTTTACTCTAGGGACAACTATAGTAATTGGCCTCACTGGGAGCATTTGCATATCACCACAGAATTCTGGGAGAGTGGGGCTCACCGCGAGCAACAGAGAAGTGGGATTTTGGCTCATCGGATCAAGCTAGCAGCCTGGGAACTGCCTCACTGGGAGCATTTGCATGCCACCGGAGGATTCTGGGAGAGTGAAGAGGAGTTCACCACAAGCAGGAGCTACAGAGAAGTGGGACTTCAGCTCATCAAATCAATCTAGCAGCCCATGCGCCTAATGGTGTGCAAATCTTACAACTAAGAATCTAAATTAGGAAGTCTACAAGAGAAAATCTATTTGCAAAATCTGTTAGGCTCTGCCCAACCTTCAAGAGTAATAAAGTCATGGAGAAAGAAGCTAGCCCCGTGGTGACCTGCAAGCTGTGTGCTGTTTGTATTCCTGCCCAAGGAAGACTCCAACTATACTTGCACCAAGTGCAAACTGATCAGATTGCTGGAGGAGAAAGTGGAGCCACTCTGAAACTCATCTGTGAAAATGAGGAGTTCTCAGAAATGGTAGAAGTCTGTCTACAAACTGAACACAGCAAGGAAGAAACAACTACCAGGAAAAATGGAGCCCCAGAGGAGGGATGGCAGCATGTCACTCGAAGGAAAAAAACCCAAGAAGACTATCACTGCCACTGGAGCTTGACAATCAGTTTCACACCCACCCACCCCGGAAGAGGACATGCAGACATCTGGAGAAGGGTCTTCATCAAGTGTCCCAATAATAGGAAGAAAAGGAGCTCAGGCTGTCACAGAGGAGAGGAGTCCGCTGGGTGTCCCGCAGAGGAGAAGGCGTGTGGTGGAGATTGGTGACTCACTTCCCAGAGGAAATCAAGGGAAGCATGTTGTCTCCCAGGTGCAAAGATATGGCAGAGAGGCTCACCCAACTCATCAAGCCCACAGATTATTATCCCTTTCTCCTCTTTCATGTAGGGACAAATGATACAACAAAAAAGAGCCTGAAAAAAA